GTGTGTGGGATTTTTAAAATATTGAATAATCCAAAAAAGGCAATAATTCGTCTAATTTAAAAAAAAAAATGAAACAAATTTTCTTCATTGTAATGCATTTTTTTCCTACAAAAAGGCTTGTACATTATGCGCAAGAGGACCCACGTACACTTTTAGTCGTGTTAGACAATAAGGGCTAAAGCTGTCATATTCAGAAATTTGACACAATCCAAAAACAGTTTGCAGGAAAACTAATTTAAAAAAAAAAAATCAATTATTTTTCCTTACCTACAAAAGGACTCGTAATGTCGCTCAAGAGTGTGGCTATCGCATTCTGTGGATTCTGTGCTATCTAGCAATAAAAAGAACTCCATAGGTGAGCATGCACAGTAGGTGTCAACCGTTCATCAGTGAAAAGATCCCTCGTCGATGATTGTTTCAGGCAATTACTTCCTATACAATCTCGGAAGGTGGGCCGACCTGGGTCATGACTCCAGGCCACGATCTCCCCCTGCCTAGTAAGCCTATATTGATAACTCTCAGGCTTTTTCCTCTCATCTGTATTTCTTTAGAGGATTTAACTTATGAGGAGTTTATACGATTTGTGTTATTCTCTTTGCACCGTTTTCTCTATGAAATACCCACTGAGCCCTCCAAAGCTTTCAAATACATTTATTATTTACCAAGCCCGATCATTTAAATATGCCACAAAACTTTAGACTGCCTCTTCCACTGATTTGATTTCAACACAATATTCCTATTTATACGACTACATCTAATTTTGCGCGGCGTTCGTGGCTAAGGCGTTGCGAGTCCGACTCGTGAGCCAGCATACCGCGATCGAAACTCACTGCAGGCTGCGTGTATGGGACGTCGCAGGTCGACCCAGCCTAAAATGGGTACCAGGATGGGCTGTCCTGGGAAAGTAAAGACAGCCGGTGTAATGCTGACCACATTACCCACAGAGTGCTGATGGTCTGTAAAAATATGGGACGCTCTGCCCATATGCCCGATGCGCCGAAAGGCGTGAAAAGGGATCTTTACTTTTTTTTAACTTTTACATCTAATTTTGCTGTGGTGTGAAAATCAGCTTTGTGAATTTTTACTTTGTTCAAACGACAAACTTTACTGATTGCATAAATCAAATTGCTTTATAAAAACTGAACAGTAGACATAAATCCATGAGGATAAATAAACACTGGTTGCTAAGGAGAATTATGCAGCAATGGGGCACATAAAAATGCAGATTACACGATTGGGGTTCTACCTTAATAAATTTCAGAGTAATATTCTAATGAGCTTAACAAAAAAAAAAATGACGGTTTAAAACGTTTAAATACAAAATTTTATTGGTAATTTGAGAAATGCCACTCTAACATGTTTTAACAGTAAATTTTTATCACTATTTAAAATGTTGCTTTATCATCTTTAAAAGTAATCTAACTATTTGAAATTCACTCTTTCTGAAACACTTGAACAGAACAGACCAAGTCACAGTTTTTCGCTTACGCACTGGACACTGCAGACTCAATAAACACTCACATAAATTAGGTATGAGCCAAACAACTCTCTGCCGGTGCCTTCGTGCTGAACAGACTCCAGAACATGTCCTGCAAGACTGTCCTCTCCTGGCGGAGCTGCGGAGCGACATATGGCAACACCCAGTAGAACTGACAATTAAGCTTTGGGGAAACCTAAGAGACCTTGAAAAGACATCCCAGTTTATGACCCACAGTGGATTATGCGCATGACCAGAGATCGCTGAAGAAGAAGGAGAAGAAATTCACTCTTTTTAATCTCAGGTTTTACCAGGTTTAAAAGACATTTTGTATAGGCAATTTTTAAAATGCTGTTCTAGTTGAAATTTGATTTATTTGATTTAGAAAGTAATTATAAAGTCGTTATTTAAAATGCTGCTCTAGATTCTTGTAAGTAAATCTGATTAGAAAATTATCTGACACTCTCTTTCTAGTCTGACCGTGTCATTCGGCGTCAACTGTGAACCTGATTACTACAGTCAATCGTGTGATGTTTACTGTCGTGTTGACAATGTGTTCTCAGATCACAGGTTCTGTAACACGTCTAGTGGTGTCAAACAGTGCCTACCAGGTATATAGTTCCTCCTCCTCTTTTTCTTCTTCTTTTTCTTGATCTTCTTCTTCTACTCCTCATCCTCCTCCTCCTCTTCCTCCTGCTTCTTCTTCCTCTTCTTCTTCTTCTTCTTCTTCTTCTTCTTCTTCTTCTTCTTCTTCTTCTTCTTCTTCTTCTTCTTCTTCTTCTTCTTCTTCTTCTTCTTCTTCTTCTTTTTCTTCTTCTTCTTCTTCTTCTCCTTCTGCTTCTTCTGCTTCTTCTTCTTATTTTTCTTCTTCTTCTTCTTCTTCTTCTTCTTCTTCTTCTTCTTCTTCTTCTTCTTCTTCTTCTTCTTCTTCTTCTTCTTCTTCTTCTTCTTTTTCTTCTTCTTCTTCTTCTTCTTCTTCTTCTTCTTCTTCTTCTTCTTCTTCTTCTTCTTCTTCTTCTTCTTCTTCTTCTTCTTCTTCTTCTTCTTCTTCTTCTTCTTCTTCTTCTTCTTCTTCTTCTTCTTCTTTCTCTTATTATAACTCTTATGATGATTATCTTCCTCCCTCCTTTACCATCACCATCACTGCTGCTGGTGCTGCTTCTTCTGCTGACTGCTACTACTGTTATTACTAGTAACACGAACTCTGCCTTCACCTCTTTGAGCGCTACTGACACGTTCTGTGGTGGTTTCTGCTCATTTCGCCTCAACATATACGATTTCAGCAAAAACTTAATTAGTCGCCGTGTTTTACTTGCTTAATAAGAAGCAATAGGTCTATACAAAAACCCCTATCCGCGCCCCCCTTCCCCTCTTTTTTTCACACACACTTTCCATATGTGGACAGGAACCCATACGAGAACATATATATTTGACGACTGACACGGAAAAGGGGGGGGGGGGGGGGTGAGGGCGGAAAACTGATTATACGTTGTTATTTCTTTTAAATAGGGCAAATAAAATAACAGACTGACACATGGGCAGACAGGCTAGCATTTGTTTTGTTAGCTGTGTCACATATTATGCTGATGTCACGTGCCTTGGTGAAGGTTTCCCCTGACAAACCGAATAGCACTCTGAAGTAGCTATAAAATGTTGAGATGTTGGCTCGCAATTGACTAGGCGAAATCCCGCAGCTCCAGTGAATATCCAACCTACTTCAGGGGCTGAGGCGACACAAATTATGGCACTACAGAGCGTAAAATATTCCTAGTCGCAACTTGGCTTGACTTCCTCACTACTTCAATTAAGCCCCCAGACTAAATAGTCTCCTATCCTAGTCACCATAAGAAACACAGTTAAAAAAGTAATATAGTGATGCCATACACATACTCCAAAAGCCTAGGAACAGTGAAAGATGGACACTAAATCCTAAATTGGAAATTTACAAAACATTCTGTAATCAGTACAATTCATTAATGGCTAGAGCAAGGGTTGCTCCCAGTAGCAGCCACGGTCATAATAGTTATGCTGTAGAACTATGGTACAGTGGACAAGGCACTTCGGTTTAAGAGTGACCACAACATCTGGAATATAACTCATCTGTATCCAAGTCAGGTCCATTGTAGCACATCACTTCTGCATCTGGAATGCTTGACACCAGGGTACTTTTCAGCTCTTCTGCACATGAACTGCTACTCTAATGTTTATATACTAGCACAAAATTGTCTCAGGTACAATTTGGATAGAGAGTCACAAATACTGTAGACCAAAAAGGGCGGGCAACCTCTGGCTTCACCATGCAGCTCCCTGGGGATGGATTGCTCCCAATGGTACTGTTGGTCACTACCTGGGCGTAGGAACAGACATGTCTGCACGCCCCATGGTAGTATCTTCTGGAGACCTTTCTGTAGGCTAACTATATATATATATATATATATATATATATATATATATATATATATATATATATATATATATATATATATATGCAACAAGCAAAATCAACTGCGCCGTTTAGTTCACGGGTGCAGTACGGATATCCATGGGGATCGTCGTCGGAGCTACAGAGGTCGTGCTCTGTGCAACGCTTTCAGCAGGCAGCTAGCTGTTGTTGGGAGAGAGACTGGGTCATATGGGATATAACCCAGTGCAATGAAGTCGATTCTCTCACTTTTACTGTTACCCTTCACATTTAGAGTCTGCCTGCCTGATTATCAAATCTTGGCTCGCACCCTTCTATCTTTTTAGACGACAGAGTTTCATTGTGCCGTAGGGAAGCATGGGATTCACAGCCCATGGCGATGGCGAGTGTACTTAGCAAGATCTGCTCACGTTTAAAATCTTCTACAATAAGTGCATGCCATTTCATATATTTGACACATTTCTTCTCAGCTTAACTAGTAACCAGTCTGCAGTCTTTTTATCCGTTGCCCCTTTGACTTTCATATCCCCTCCCCTCTTCCTTCTACGTGCTATGCGATCAGTTGCATACGGTTCCAATGAATTCATTTCAATTCCTGTATCATTTATGTCCTGCTTGAGCATATCTTTGACGTAGCAAAGGCTGAGCCGATCGTCTTCTAAATATGTGTAATTCACCATAGCGGATGACCTCAGGGACTGTACAATCATCTATCCTTTCATGGTCCCCTCGCTATCCGAGCCTTCAAGGACTGATCTTTTAGAAAACTGCCGCGATACACAATCTTCACTCCACCTCAAAGTTTGTAGTCAAACATCAATGACTAACAAATCTATTGATTATTGGCATGAGTTGATTGAGGGTATATGGTCCAGTGCGATGTAAAATGTGGGACACAATGATCTGATGTAACTTCAGATACACATTATAATAATTTTGTTTCCTCCACCAGGCTGGAGTGGGTCTGACTGTCAGGCTGATGTTAATGAATGTGAGAACCCTCCTTGCCAGAATGGAGGAACGTGCGTGAACAGACCTGGAACGTTCTTCTGTTCATGCCTCATGGGAACGCAAGGTTTGTTCCACTTCTGCTTAATGTAATCGGGGGAAAGTAATCGGTTTTTTCCTACGCCGCTAGAATATGGAGAAAATGGTTCTATTGTAATTTTGTTGAATAATCGGAGTTATCTAAACGACTGGCTTAAAAGTAAGCACAACAAATAGATTGCTGATTTAAAAATCTCTCTCTCTCTCTCTCTCTCTCTCTCTCTCTCTCTCTCTCTCTCTCTCTCTGTCTCTGTCTCTATCTATCTATCTCTCTCTCTCTCTCTCTCTCTGTTTCTTGTTGTACCCCACTAGGACATCACACAAGCGATAAACATCAGGTAACACAAAGTGCCACCATGCAGATAAGGATAACCAGTAGAGAGGTCACAGAAACCCTTTTCAGTCGTTGGGCCATATTTACGGCCCGGCTATATTCAAGGCTCCCGGCAAAAGCCAGGGTTTGGCTTCAGATAACGAAACATTGCATCCCACATGGGGACGACTGAATTTCTAATTTAAGAAACGATAACATAGCATACAGTTCGTTCCAACATAGGCTCCTTGTCTGGTAGCAAATGTCTTCATGTCTGGATGTGTGGACTTTACCTGTAAGACACTGGTTGTACACACATCATACCTTTTCTCTTACAAACCATCGGCGACCGGGTAGCCCACTGGCTCGCCGGTAGACGACTTCATCGCCGGTAGGGACAGTATGTGTGTCTGTATCCTTTGATCGCATCAAAACTACATGAGTCTTTTTTCAGAGCTCTTGATGTGCAGTGCTAAGCCATTTTATATGACGCTCATAACCTAGTCACAATTATAACTGAAAGCTTCCCCCTCAGGGTTCTGGTGGAACGTGATGATGTATTTTTATTTCGGGGGCGGGGGGGGGGGGGGGGGGAGGTTCCAGCAAAGCATCAATCTTCTTCTCCAAATCCTACTTTTTTTTGGTGGGGATAGGGGGGGGGGGGAGGGTGCACCTGCGATTAACAGCACATTCATGCAATCTTGCACATGATGTGTAGTATAACATCTTATCTTCCGTCAATGCTTATTCATTATTGATCTCAAGAATTTCTGCCTTGTCCAGTATGAGTAGTCACTCCCTGGAGAAACCTTGATCGTGCTCTCACGTCGATACTCGTATAAGCTATATATATATCTATTATTGGTCTTAAATAGTCAATATATATATATATATTTATATATATATATATATATATATATATATATATATATATATATATATATATATATATATATATTCGTAGGTCGTTTCTGTGGGCAGCGAATCCCTGTGTGCCACCTCCAACCTTGTCAGAACGACGGAACATGTCTAGACACCCCAACGAACACTGTGTGTTTCTGTACTCCTGAATTCACCGGACCCCTGTGCCAGTTTCCGCTAGACAGTTATGAACTCACTACAATGATGGAAACGACCCGGACCTCGACGAGTGATTATGGATTGTCATCTACACTGAAAACTGGTAATAGTGGAGTTGGCTTCATTTAAAAGCATACACAGCAAGACAAGTAGGTTGTAATAAATGTGACGTATGGAGTTGATAGTCACAAACAAAGCAGGGTATGCATATTGATGTCTTGATACATTTGCTCCCAGGAATACAAAGAAAATCTTAAATACTTCAAAGAAATACATTCTTCACACCAGAACTTCTCTCCATGGTTTAGGAGCCACTCAGCTACAAGCAGCCCGCCCCCCCCCCCACCCCACCCCCTTTTGCAAATTTTATAAAAAAAAAAAAAGGGGTGGGGGGGGGGATGTCTAGGTACAAAAGGTCTCTGTTTCCGGCATTCTATGTGAGAAAATGTGTATATGTGAATGACACCATTTTATGTGACTTAATATGTATTTTGTGTGTGTTTAGACAGTCACTCAGTGTCTTACTGCGTCTTTATCCCATTTATTTATTTTTTATATATTAAAGTCGTTCGATATGTATTGGTCATTTGTATCTGCGAATGCAAATATAAACGCAACATTGCAGCATGTGAGATGAGATGTATAAGAAATGTAGCAGGAGAGAAAAAGGGATATAACAAGAGGCAGAGTTACAATGATGAACTAAGAACAATGATAGGCACAGAACTGGTAAATGATTTTGTAGGATATCAAAGAATGAAATGCTTTAATCATCTAGTCTGAATGGAACAAAATTAGCAAGGAGCTAGAGCATACTAAATGCGAACAGTTGGCTACAAGACAAGAGGCCGACCAAGAAAGAGATGATTGGATGGAGTAAAAGTAAAGGTTTTATAAAAGTAGAGATTTAAAAAAAAAAGAACTGAAAACCTTTATAAGTAAATGTACATGTATTTATCAGCACTTACATATGCATAGAAAATAAAAACAGGAGGACACACAAGACAATATGTTAAAAGCGTTAGAGCAGTGATTAGAGGCTTCCGCCCGATCCGAAGTTAATAGGTTCGAATCCGTATTCATGTGATCTTTGTTTATTAATCTAGGGCCCCCAGGTTGACCAGATTTAAAACAGGTACCAAACAATATAATGAGAAGTGAACGCGATGGCATGATATTGACTACCACACCTAAATAAGGCTGTTTGGCCTTTAAAAAATATACGTTTGGCAGATTATCCCGAATGATATTTTACTTTACTGTAGCTCCATGCCTCTATGTCACTCTATGATATTTAGCCTTTATTTGTTCTAAAATCAGCCATGATATACTGCGTACCCTCAGTTATGTGCGAACATTTTTGTTATTTTTGAATTTTTTTTTTTTTTTTCAAAATATCCCCAGCTGAAGCTACACGATCCAAGATGTTAGACAATAAGGTAAGTTGGGAGGAACATTTTTTTTTTTTTTAAATCTCAGTTGTTTTAGAAATAAAAAGCATACTGGGGAAGTGACTGCTTCCAATAGAATCCCTGAATCGAACACTGATGAAAGAAAGGCAAAGGTGCTGGCATGGATTCCATTCATGACATCCAAGTGATTGTGCATGATAGAACTGAATAGAGAAGTAGACTCCGATCCCCTCTGACATAAAATGCCACAAAAGTGCGATGATGATGAATGATGTTGACTTAACTCATTGAGTCACCAAACACAATCAGCTCACCGTGCGTTTATTGATTACACCATACGTGAAATGCTTTTTCTTAACTTTTTGCTCCCCAAGTAGCTGCTATAATAACCCGCGGTAAGCTAAATGCTACTTTAACATTTTTTGTGCCTAATTGGGACTTATTTAACCCCTCGGGATTTAAACAACTCTTACAGTAGATTAAAAAGAAATACTTGGAAATCAACAAGACTTGGAAATCAACGAGTTAACTGATACGTGCCTGGGACTGAGAGAGTTGAAGTAACTATTCAGATGCCCATAAAGCAGAGACAAATCACAGAAACCCCGTTCACCAGTACACTACAGATATACTGGGTCACTGTACATCTATAAAGTAACCTGACAGTAAATGGGGAATTTTAATCACATGCCTAACTCTAGTACGACATAAGCCTACAGAATTGGTTGTCAATTATTCGAAGCCTATCCAGGTTTTCAATTCACCCAGTCTAAAATAGGTGTAATCAAATATTCTGCAAAGTAAAGGCAGTCAGCATGATATTGATCACATCACCCACAGAATGTCAGTTGCTCCTTACAACTGGGTCTGGCATCATATGCCCCGTGCACCACTGGGGTAAATAGGGTGCATTACTACTTCTTTGTTTGCAGCGTCCGTGTCTTAGGCGTTGCGAGTCCGACTCGTAATTCCAACCTACTGCGATCGAAACCCACTGCTGGCTGCGTGGATTTTATCATGGTACGGGACGTCGCGGGTCGACCCACCCTAAAATAGGTACCAACCAGGCTATATGTCCTGGGGAAGTAAAGACGGCTGCGTAATGCTGACCATATTACCGACATAGTGTCGATTGGTCTGTAAAAGTATGAGTGCTCTTCCCATATGCTCGATGCGCCTAAGGAGTGAAAAGGGATCTTTACTTTTACTAATTTTACTATTTCTTTGTTTACCCCTCCCGAAGCCCGCTGGTCGCTACATATGTAGCGCTATTACTATATGCTAAACACCACTAAGGTTCTTGCAACTGTACCTTTACTATAGTAAAGTAAAGTAAAGTAAAGTAAAGTAAAGGACCCTTTTCCACGCCTTTCAGGCGTATCGGGTATATAGCCCTAGACTTATATTTTAGAGACCAAACGGCACTTGGTGGGTGATGTGGTCAGCATTTTGCCGGCCACCTTTACTTCCCAGGACTGTACATGGTACCCGCTCAAGACTGGGTCGACCTGGGAGCCAAGGCCATTTTTGCAACAACAAAAGGTTCATCCCTCGTCAGAAACCGAACCCACAATCTTTCTTGTTACTATACTGCGGCAGCTCCCTACCTTTACTATAACTTGACTTAATTACATGACAATTTATGTCTTTTACAGCTCTAAATGGTGATTAACACTTATCCATTTATTAAAGGCACATCTTGAACAATCAGTCAGCCAATCAAATGTTAGACGCGACACCCATAGTGAAATTGGGCACTAATGGATCAGTAACATAGTGTATTTCTGGTCTTTGTTGTATTGTCGTTTAGACTGCTGTTCGTCCATCACTGGATTATGTCCCCTTTGTATCGTTGTCTACCTATTGTCGTCTCGCCATTGACTTTTCCCTTCAGTATGGTTTTTTAAAAGCAAGTTAATCTATTAGTCGGCTCTGTGGCTAAGTCGATGCAAACGCTTCGTAATGCTAGGGTGCCGGGTTCGATCCCCGCTGCGGGCCATGCACCTTGCGTTATTTTCGATAGTGGTATCAGGGGGCCGACCGTCCAGGGCAGTGGCAAATTACTGGACGTAAATTTGCTTAGAAAAACCACACAACCGCCAGGGGCTGTTGGTGTTGGTTCTGCAACGTCCTGTAAAGGATACGCAACTAACTTTATTCTATTAACATGGTTAAAATATTTCCTTTGTCACTTTTACTTTCAGCAACTCTTTTCATTCCAGTTCTCTTCGAGACCTCTATGTTTGATT